ATTTAAGAAATTATGTCACAGTGCCAACGAGTGATGATCCCCTCCCTTTACACTTTACTCATTGTTGTTCAGTCAGAGTCGAGGGCAGTATCGGGGGTAAAAATGAAAACAACCGGCTGTTGAAACAATTTAATATATATATAAATCTAGATCTAGATCTAGATCTAGAATCTAGATTAGATTCAAGTCTATGTCTGACCTCTCCCTTTTTGTAGGCCTCTAGACTAGGCTAGATCTCTATATATCTAGATCTAGTCTAGAGTGAGGGCTGAGATCAGGGAACCGTGGTCTAGAGTCGATCCAGTTCCTGGTCAGGTCTGAAATCCGGTCTAGCCGCCTAGATCTATATGATCAATCCTTCTATGAGACATGAGAACTTGTGCTGTTTGGAATAGCATGCACCAGATCTAGATCTAGATCTAGATCTACTTAGAGAACTCAGACCTACGCCTATCCTCTATTCTATGCTGCTAGAGTTAGATCAAGATTCTAGATCCTGGATCTTAGAGAAGCTACACAGGATGTTGTTGTTCTCACAATAGGGGCCTAAAGGGTTTCACTTTTATACTGGTTCTGAAACCTTAGATTCTGCTTTGGGTTGGCCCAAGGTAATGGTTACTTAAAAGTCTAAGCTAAGTCTAGATTCTAGATCTAGAATCTAGAGTCTTGTAGGAGGAGAATGTTTACAGAACTTTTTCTTTAAAATCTATTTGACTATTTGTGATGACAGCTATGTCTAGATATCTATTTGATTAGGCTGTATAGTATACTGTACAGCTTTTATCTTTATCATTATTATATATAAATTATATCGCTATCATCACTCTTTGGTGCTTTTTGTCTCCTTGACCACTGCAATAAATTGGCTATTCTTTCAACCCAATTTACTAATCTAGATCTAGATCTAGATCTAGATAGAATAAATTTACGAAGTGACTAGATCTAGATCTATTTCTCCGAACACTCGGGACAATAAACTTGAACTCTATTTCTCCGAACAGTTTGTTTTCGAGTTTTGTTGGTTTTTTGACGGAGTTCGGCGCCATCTTTCATTCTGCCATTCTGCGAGGACTGGGAAGAAGCATTTTTTTTTGCATCGAATTCAGTTTCTATCAGACTAGAAATTTTTCGGAGTGACTGTACAATTTTGCGAACAACTCTGTCTGGATATCCATACAATATTGTTCGCACAATAACAATTACTACAGTTATCTGCACAACAGTACATGCCCATAGACCTTCATGTTCTGTCTTAGTAAGATAGCCTAGAGGTGCTTCCATTTTAAATTCTTTTTCGGCAGATCTCATCTGTTGATCCAATGCCCACCGCCTCATTGATGGTGCTCTACCCCCCCCCCCCCCATGTAAAAAAAAACTACGTCTAGATTATGTATATCTACGTTGAGTTGCCTTTCATGAAACCGTGCTGTAAAGATATATTGAGCTTAATCTACAATAAAATGTTGAAAGTTCTGATGGCCGAAATGACAGCGTGCGGACAGCGTGTCTGCGTTAAAAAAGTACAAATTGTTTTGAGTGAAGGATTGAATCTTGGTCCTGGAAGTTTTTTTTTACTACCCCGACTGACCAACAATTTTTTCCATTTATAATTGTTTGTTTTGACTTTAAAGTTTTCCACTCATGGTTTTGTGTAAAGACAAAGAAACATACTCATTCATGCTATCATAGAGTCATAATACAACAACATGCATTTGAATAAAAGTACACTCTTTCATTTAGGCCTACCGATTTAAGCACCAACAACCTCCAAAATTCAAATAATTGTACAAATAACTCTGGTTATTTGTACAATTACTTTGTACTAATAACTAGTTAGAGTATGCGCACTATTGTAATTGGGGCAACGTTCCGGGAATATATTGTACTTCATTTGAAAATGCCTTCAAAAGGTACTGCGAGAAAACAAGACTGCTCAACTTTGGCAGTAACCTATTTTGCATTTAGTCACCCCTAAAGCAAAAATTAAATGACAAAAAAATCCCTCCCCCCCTCCCCCGTTCACACCTTACACACACACACACACACACACACTCACACACACATACATGCACATTCACACGGCACACAAACACACACCACTCCATTCGCAAATGACCAAAAAATCTCGAGAATGGAATCCGTTCAGAGAAATAGAGTTCAAGTTTATTTTCCTGAGCGTTCTGAGAAATAGAGCAGGCCTTAAATTTAATTGGTGTGGTTACAATGCAATGGTGTATTTACAGAAAGTAGAGGAAGTTGGGTCAGAGATGGGAAAGCTGTAAACTTTAGACAGGAAAAGAGGAGGTGCAATGGGATTGGTATGGATTAGATCTTGAAACTCTTGATGGATGAGTGAAAATTTCATGCTTCATGCCGTTGTGATTTAGTCTTCAAGGTTGACCACTCTTTGCTTGCCATCGTAAAGTAATTGTCATCCTCCTAGGAGTTACGTCAGTTCATTTTAGAGTAAGGGGAGACCATTTTGCTGATTCTGGGCCTGACCGGACATATAAGTCCCTGTGGATTATACCTCGGTGCGTTGGCTAAGCTCCCATTTGCCTAAGATCCCACATAAATTTTCCTTGGCCCAACCACCAGGATCTTAGGCGGAGTCTACTGTTTATTTACTACTTTAAACTCTCTTTCTCTTTAATGTTCGGTACATATGACGGAGTGCAGTCCATGCCACAGTTGACTGTCCCTGTCCACTTTCTCCAATCCAAGCAAGCAGATCTAGGCAAAGGTGCCTCTTTAACTTCCAGTTGGTGCACCTCTTTTTCTTTGTCCAGTTGGTTTTCAATATGAAGCATCATGTTTGATCTATGGGCCTTCTTGTCTTCGGCATTCTAACACTGTGTCCTAAAAATATCTTAATTTTCCTCTTTTTATTGTCATGTTGATATCTTCAATTCCAGCTCTTTCCAACACTTCATCATATAAATTTATTCCATTTTTATTAATAATTATAAAATTCTTTGTTAGCGTTTTGTTTTGGGGAAGTTCTCTTAAATTGTAATTGAATTGCTTTTTAAAAATGTTAATCTCTGAACCATACTTCAGTACAGCCAAACCAAAACTGAACATGATTGATTTTATTAACTGAGACAAAAAACCACTTCTCCCTATCTTCTGCACTGCAGTACACTTTTAAATTTAGATCTAGTTGTTCCAGATAATAAATAAATAATTTGTTTAAGCTCCAGATTCATACTCAAGAAAAAAGAGTTTTAGAAGTTTTCCTCCTCCTCCCCTGAATAACCTGACCGTTCTCACAGTTCTGCCTGGAATGGCAGAATGGCTGATAATATATAAGCCATTTTGTTAATTCTTTAAAACATCTTTTGTCCTCTTTTCAAATGAAATTTGAATTTTTCTTGAGGTGGTTTCACCTTCCCTTGTGAAATTCAGTGTCTCCATTCAGTAACCAGACTGTATTTTTTAGCCAAAAATGTAGGCTACCTAAGACCCCCGCAAAAGAGGTTTAATGGCTGTATGCCAGGGTGTGGGATGAAAAAGGATGACAGCTAAATGCCAGGGTATGGGAAGGAAAGGGTCATACAGAAATTGTTCCAATATTTGAAAATGATGTTTGCATGAGTTTTTTCATTAGGATTTCATAGTCTTTATTACCATAGTTTAAATTGATCCAACGCAACAAGGACCAGGGTACAGGACCCATCATGATTTTTGTGATTTATCAAGGGAGACAACACCATACTTGTAAATATTTAGTCTGAAATATCTTGCCTGTGGTGTTACTTAGTGTCTGAACTCCAACACTGAGACACTTAGTAATTGTAGAACATGCAAAACTAACCCTGAGCTTAAATTTCCCGGGAAAAAAAGTGAGCCATCTGAAAATAAGTTGTTGTAACATCTCAAACACAACTTGTAAGTTTTCAGTTTGGTCTTGAAATTGGAATTCTTTCTGTGAGAGTGCAAAAGTGTTTTGTACTCTAATATTTTTTTGTCTTCATAAATGGGCTGTTCCTGATAGTAGGTGGCCAACATTTCAAAGATCGGTTTGCATGCACCATCATCATTTCCTTTCTCACCCTGCACCAGGGCATAGGCCACGGACAAACACTTTCCACCTTCGTCTATCCTGGGCTAGCCTCTTGATGTTACTCCATGTCTTCCAATCCATCGCCATTGCCTTCTTCCTACCTCATGATCTCTGACTGGGATCTGTCTTGTTTTCCTTTAAAAAAAAAAATTAAAAACCACTTCCTCGTAGGTGACTCTGTCTGTCCATCTTATCCTCAGTAACTTTCTTCTTAGACATTTGTTCAAGAAGAAAACCTGGATCCTTTTTATGCAAGTCTGTGATGTGTTCCATGTCTCACATCCATACAACAGGACTGATTTCACATTTGAATTGAAAATCTTCAGCTTTGTTTGAAGTGAGATATATCTCTTGTTGCATGCACCCCCTCTCATTATGTTGTGGGTTTTAAAGACATTATGTTATTGAATTACTTGTGGATCACATTCCCTCCTTTTGTGTTGGAAGTTGAAAGGTAAGTAACTTTTATGGAGAGTGGGGTTTGTAGTTTGAAGTAACACCTCTCTTGCGTTTAATGCCTTACATTTTGTGTCAAGAAAAAGGACTTGCATATGATTACTCTCTGTCACCTCTTGTCATGATGCTTGATTCCTGCTGCCAGTAGGGTGGCTTCAATGGGGATAATGTGCGTGTGTGATACATAGGTTTGCCTTCTGGAAAATTTAACTTCATCATTATATTGACGCAAAGACTAAACAACGTTCACAGAACAGGTGTTAAAATTCTAAAAAAGGAAATTTAGTCTTTGTTTACCCAGAAAAACGGTGTCGCACCTTTTTAGAGATAAGTCTTCCCTGGATCACCATGTGTCTGCTGTTCTTTACTCATACTGTAGCTGTGGTTTGATCTGATTGGTTGTGTTCTGATGTTTGTGAATATTCATCTACAGCATCCTGCAGGCCTGTGGTGAGTGTCCAGACAAATAAGAAGAATCTCACACACAAGTAAGTTGAGGAAACTTCTACTTCTGGCTGTGTGTGAAAAAGATAATAATTTTCGAGAGCGGAGCTGTATAGTTTGAACTGGTCCAGAAGAATACGTCTCCACAATGACCGCTCAACGGAGTTTGATGTTCTTGGCGTTGGTGCTGGGCTCTGTGGTTGGTGCTGAGGTGTACCTGAATCAGTTTGCTGTGCACATCTCCGGGGGCCACAGTGCCGCCAGCAGGGTGGCACGAGACACTGGTTTCATCAATCTGGGACAGGTGAGTTGAATTCCTTGTTATCATTTTCTGTCATTTAGAGAGTTGCATCACGGTTGGTTCTTGTTGTGTTTTTTCTTTCTGAGTCTGTATAATGTCAGCATGTTTGTAATAATATATGTGTGTGCTTTGTACTCAGGACTATTTTGTCGTGGTCTTTGCAATGTATTATATATATA